TTTGCATCCCGTCACAGAAGAGAAATAGCTAAATATTGAGCTTCATCTGTAGATTGAAGTATGGGGTAAAATTTGCCCCTTGTGTATGCAGAGAGATATCCCAATCATGCAAGAGTGTTGTGACTGTGCATTAGAAACAATCTCCTAAAACCTTTTTTAGAAACATAATAGGTTTTTTGCCTTTCTGTTTGTTTGTTTGGATTGTATAATGTGATTTCCCTGTGTTTTATTACACTGGCTGAGTTGTGTTTTGACACTGAACATAAACTTTCAGCTAACAGTCTTTCTTTTCCATAATCTTCTAGGTTTTTTTTCACAGCAAACTTGAGTAATTGGGAGGGCTGTTGAAGGATCCAAAATAAGTGAAAGGGATGGATTCAGTTTATCAGGGCATTTAATTGTTAGTACTGGCATCAGTTGCTGCTCAGTTTGTGGATATAGCTTTAAATGTTTGTACCAACCTCTGTTTCCTGTTGAAGGAATCAAGGCTGTCAGCTTTGTTACATCAGTGCATACATAAAGTAGGAACAGTGTAGACCAAGAATGTTTTTCTTAAACTAACGTTATGTTTTTCAGAAATAACTACAAAGAGTACTCTATGGAGTCCAGGTTGCACTTCAGAATTCATGCAGCACTTGACAGCATGAATGTGTCATCTGCTTCAACACCTTGAATGAGGAGGGATGCTTTCCATGCAGACAATAGCCTACACAATCTTTTTGCAGTCTTTTTTTTAATCATTGAAAGGAAGCAACCTGATGGCTGTTTTCTGTCATGTCTGATTTGATGTATGTCATTCCTTTAGACTGTTCTTTTTTTTCAGTATAGTGCATATACTGTATCTACTTGCTACTTTAAAAAAGACCTTATATTTTGTTTGATAAAAATAATTAAATTTTTGACTTGAATGGGGAATATTTAAAAAAAAATGATGGTGCAATAAAGTTTAATGCAAACGTTTTATTTTTTTATAAGAAAACAGATGCTGGTTATGCAGTGGAACTGGTGATAACTTCTGCATTTTTTAAAGGTTTGATTTTCTGCAGGATACTTGAGACCTTTTTGCCTCTGGAACAAAAATGCAATGTCTGCAGATAACTTTACCCACATATGGCATACCAGGTTCTGAAATTTGTGTTCCAGAGCAAAAAAATTAATCATCTTTGACTTTATGTCATTCTGGGAACAGAATTAACCTGTCTCAAGTGTGGCATTTTTACACTGTCAGATAAAGTTAAGCAGGGCTAAATGTATAATGTCTTTGCAGGTCACTCAGAATAAGTTGTTATGTGGTATTTTTCAGTCACAGAAAAGCAGGGCTGCTGCTCTTGCAGAATCAACAGTTTTATGTCATTCCTGACATATTTGTTAAACCTGTTAGAAAAAAACAAAACAAAACCCAAAAGCACCAACCCCCCCCCCCCAAAAAAACACCCCAAAACAGAAAACCAAACCAAAAAAATACAACAAAACCAAACAACAACTCCAAAACAAACACCCCCCCCAGACAAGCAAAAAACCACCCAGCCACCCAAAAAAAGCCATAACCCAAATCTTGCATTGAGAGACACTTTGTAACTTACACAGGATGTCTTTTCCAATGGGAAAAGGCTGGGAAATTTTTCCTGGTGCTTATCCCAAGTAATTGTGCAACTGAAATGGGTTGCTTCCTATCTTCCCTGTCATGGATCCGAAGAAAGGATTGTTCTTTTTCTGTTTTGAAGCAGGCTTTTAGTATTTTAAGAGGCACACACACACACACACCACCCCACACACACCCTTGTTGGTATTCTCTGTTCTTAGATTCCAACCAAAATAAATAAAAATTGTCATTATTTATTTATTTTCCCAGTAATGGGAATAACTCATACAAATGCTTATCTAGTTTTCTTTTCACCTTACTGTGTGAACACCAGTACCAAATTGAGTTTACCAATTCATTTTATATGCAGATTCTGCTAGCTGTCTATTCTTATGAATATACTTGAATTCTAAGTATACTGCCAATAACTTTCACTAATTATTGCAGAACTTACCCTGTTCCATATTTTATTAATGCCACTATATTTACTTCTGCACAGTAAGCTCATAGTAACTATGCACCTGTATGTGATTCTCTGCCTTAACTCCCAACCCAAGAAAAAACAGAACAGAATTAGGTGAAAAATTTGTCTTCAGTAGCTGAAAGTTTCTAACTGAGCAGTCCATGTAATGTAAATGCTGTAGTTATTCTTTTCAGGTGACTGAGAACACAGCTTTCTTCTATGTCTTTAGAAATGAGTCATTTAATTGTGTATAAATGAGTAAAAGAGAACTTCGTTTTCTTCAGTTCAGCCTTCCAAAGTCAGTATTTATGCCCTGTGTATGTTACAATATGTCTCTTTCGGGGTCAGCATTCTTGCACTTGTGCAAAAAACAGGCATATCAACACAGATTTGCAATACTCTTCTAGTGTGTTGATTCCCCGAGGTTCCCAGCATTAAGTACGCTTTACAGCTTGTTTCCTTTTCTGTGGTGCTGTTCCAGACTTTTTTGCTAGAAAGCCTGATTGATCAAGATTCTTAGCTTTATTCTGGATTTTTATTCCAATTTAGTAGTGTTGGAAATACAAGTATTTTAGTGATTCCTAACTCTTCAGGGTAGGTCTCAGTAGATCTCTAGAGATGTTTTGTCTTCAAATGCTGCAGAAGTGTCTCCCCAACACATTGCATCATTGATGCAGTATTGTTTACTACGGAATGTCTAAGTTAAGTGATTTGTGGCTAAAGTTTGGATGAAAAGTTTCTGGCTTTTTTTTTGTTTTCTTTTTTCCACCTGCTGTGTACTGTACTGGGCCTTAAATACAACTATGTTTTAGTCTTATTGCTCTCTATATTTTCACCTGGCTTGTCTCTAATGAGAATTTTGAATAATGTGTTGAAACTTCCAAACAGAGCAAAGCTGAGCATTTATCTATGATGCTATAAACTCTTGATAATAGTAGGAATTATAATATATACTAGAGCAAAGCTGAATCCTGTTTAAGCGAGCAAGGCTAAACTTACATACTTATATTATGACAAAAGGTCATTATGATCTTTCTGATAATAGATGTATATTTTTATAAGATAAGGAATCATAAAGTAGCCTGGTTATAAGACAAAGCTTCTCTTTGATTAAAAATTGTCTACTTAGAAAATATTACAAAAAAACCTTCTTGTCTGTAGATATCATTCAAATGTTTAGTCTGTTGGTGAAAAATTGTTGTGTTACCGTTTTTGAGTCCTAGCCCACCAATTTTTAACAAAATTTGAAAGAAAATACATGTTAAAAGAGAGCTTATTAAATATTGGTTTGTATCTGTCATAATACACATAGGTAACAGCTGTATTTAGCACCTTATGGCCAGAAAAATGTACAATAATCAGATACTGCTATGTTTCTAAAACACCTTGCCAACTAATGTATAAAACAAGTAATTGTAGCAATCCAACTTAGGCTTTGCAGTTATTTTATTACTAATCTTAATGTTTAATGTCCTTTTGTTTCTGTATGTTCTTATACTGTATAGTTCAACAAAGAATGTTTATATTTGCACTGGTGGTGCAGTTTATTTGCTTCTGAACTACTGAGGTTTGCACATCGTTTCTATGTGGTATCTGTGTCGGAAAAATGGAGGCTGAGATGAAAAAGTATATTCTGGTTTAAAAAGCATGTAGAAATGTTCATTCTGATGCATTGGAATGGATTCTTACTTCAGAGGAATAAATCACATTTTATGCTTGTGCTGCCAAGTGCTGAATTTGGCACTGTATTCTAGTTGTGCATAAAGAGCCTTCAGCTGGGATTTATCAAAACAATATCAACAGGAAAAGGCCTGATCTCAAGTTTAAACGTGCTGTCTTGGGCACATGGTTCTTTTTATGCAACCTGTCTAGCCTGAGAGCTTGTACAAATCTATCAAGGTCTAGGAGGAAATAAAGGGTCTTTGAAACGTAGATAGTGAATAAAAAATAAACTACTTTAATCTCAATCTCTCACCAGCAATCAAATAATACCTTTAAATGGTATAAAACACAGGAGTGGTTAAAGTGAATGTTCAAAGTTGTTTTTTAATGTGACATGGTTAAGTATTTCCCTAGTTGCATCTAATTTTACCTGATGTTTCACAGCAAATAGGTCATTTAACTGTTTACTGGGAGTTACCAATAGTACCCATTACCTATTACCAATAATTGCCATGGTTTGAATGATAAGAATGGTGATTTTGGTTACCATAAGAACAGAGATTCTAAGCAAAAGAATGGAAATGTTCCTGAATACTTGCTGCTGCCTGTAAGATCCTAATTTACTTTCAGCTATTAGACATACCATAGTCCAGAATAAAACCTCTGTAGCTACATCAGAGTGATTGCAGAGTATTAAGTACAGGAAGTACATTGAATAGAAGGAGGAAAAGAAAACACACTAAGGAAAGATAGAAGCACAAAACCAGGAACTACATCTGCATTCATGCCAGCATGTGGCAGAAGTTATGTTATAATCTGCCACCGGAACACTGCATGCTGTTGAGTAATAACAGTTCTGTTTATTGAACAAGTCACCCTTTCTTAAGGAAATCTGAAGAAGAGCCAAATAAGCTAACTTTGCATTCTGGTTACGCGCTGTTGTAAGTGGAAAGTCACTGCATTGGTATCTCTGGGATTTCTGGAGTTGTGCAATCTAATTAAAATAAAATTATACCTTTTCTTGACTGAACAGTTCCAGGGGATAGATTTCAGTGCCACGTGGTAAATTGTTGGGCCTTATATTACGAATTTTCCATCTTTTTCAGTTGATTTATGTTAAAAACGCTGTGGTTTTTATTTGATATGCTACTAAAATAGTTGCGGTAGAGATACCAATTGGTTTTGGGTCCACTGTAAAGCTGAATTTAAATTTCACTGACTGAACGTTAGCAGGACAGAAATGGAAAAGTGACTCCTGATTTCTGATACAGCAAGTTTTCTTAGCTTCAGGAATCTTGCCTGTGGACTTTGGAAACTGTTACATAGCCAGTGCTTCTGGTGTATGAAACCCAGTCGGAATAGTGAGAAGTTTGTTGGCGGCTGTTTTCTTCCTGGACACTTCTGAGGCTAAAAAGGGGAAACTGACTTTCCCTTTTGAAGGGGAAAAAAAGGGAGGGGGGGAAAGGGAGAGCTAACACTTGCTTTTGTTTTTCTTCTTTGAATTTTTCATTGCTTGCCTAGGACAGCCAGGTTGGAATCCTATTCTCTGTCTGCCTGGCTGTCTTAAATAGATAGCAGAGCCTTCAAAGAAAACTCTTTCATCTGTCGTTAGTATCTGTGCTCTGTGCTTCCCTGGAATTATGCAAAACAGAGGGAACTGCTTGTCTTGGCTAGCTGTAGCAGGATAGCCATTAGGAAAGGATCGAGAGAGAAAATGCAGGAGAAATCTGGGTGTAAAGGTTAACAGTGAGGTAGAAGTAGGGATATATTGGATAGGGATTTCCGTAGCACCTGAACCGTTGATACCACATTATACCACACAGAATAATGTGACAGAATAGTGCAAATGTCATTGTGATGGAAAGGCGTTAAATAAGAAAAATTATAATCCAGAGTAATCACTTACTGGCTAAAAGGAGGCAATATGATCTGGAGGTAACACAGAGCAAACCAGTTACTTCTGCTTAAGAAAAAAGCTGATGAGGGTAGGTGGACCTCCCTCCAGGCCAAATTGCTGGTTTTATGTAGTTGGAGTTCTCTGATGACAACTGCAGAGAAAGTGTGTTTTGAGTTCCTGTATGAAGACTGTTATGAGTACAGCCAGAACAGGATTCTGTGTCTGTGTGAAAACCTTTCAGAGCTATGGCTAATAGCCATTTCTTTGGATGACGTATGTCTGAAAAACACACCAAGTTGGGGGAAAAAAAAGGAAGTTTTGTAACGCCAGACCTTAAAAGTTTAATGGTTTTAGTCCTTTTTTCTCAAGTTAAATTGAAAAGTCTGTATTTATGAATTGCTGACAGACTTGGCAAGACTTTTTAAAAAAATTCATTGTGTTCATTGTGGTTTAGAACTAGACAGTTACCTCCATGTAGATGTGAAGTGGGATTCATTCCTCCTTCTGAACTTTGGGCGTGTGTTGTAGGTTTCCTCGGGGGACCTCCAGGGAAAAGAAGGTGAATACTGATCAGATATAACGGCTGAATTAGGTTAAATTAAATTAAATCAAATAATAGGAAAATAGTTGGTCTTGTTACTTGTGATGTCTTCAGTGTAAAATTAGAGGTTTGGAGGCACTTGTTCACTCCTTTAGGATGCTTCAGTTTCACAGATACTAACTGTAGGAAGAATCCCAGTATAAAGGAGTTGCTTGCAGCTGCAGATGTTCTTAACAGAAACATTGCTCAGCTCAGGGCAAGCGCACAAGTTTTCCTGGAATAAGAAGCTTTTCCAAGAGCACTGTTCTTAAAACAGGGATTATGTAGACTGCATAGTGACTGGTGTCCACTATAGTACAGTTGAGTACCTGTACTCAATTTGAGGGGATAAAAAAATAATGAAAATCACTTAGTAAATTAATAGCAGCAACAATTTGAGTAGAAGATATAGAGGATAGAGCCTCTTACCCTGGCAGAAAAAGCTAGAAATGAGCTGATACAGTACTGCTTGTTTAGAATGTTATAAAATAGTATTTTCTAAATTTTTGAATGTTTGAATTTGAATGTTCTGAATTTTAATGTTCTGTCAATGGTTCTGTAAGCTCTTGCTGGTTTATTTCCTGTGAAATCTGTAATGTTTGTGAACCTTCACACCTAATTTTGAAGCTGCTGTTCTGTTGATTGTGGGGGATTTTTTTGACACAGAAGCTAATACAACTACAGCAGTTGTATTTTTCACTACATAATAAATTGTTTCTATCCAAAACTGTATGCTATCTGTTTGGAGGTGATGTTGGGCACCTGGAGGGGTGAGGGTGGTGTATGATATAATCCAACTGAAGAGACTGTCCATTTTACAGGCTAAGGAGTTTTAATCCCCTGTTGTTTCCTGACTTGGGTAGTTAGTCAAGGTTTTGGGAGACCAGGATGCCTTTCAAAACTCACTGAGAAAGAGCTTGGATGCTCATATTTTCTAGGTGGCTTCATGACAGCCACTTACGCAAACATGCGTACAATGACCTGGATGATTTTCAAACTAGGTTTTTCGGTTTTAAACCATAATTGAAATTTTGGAGGGGGGCAGAGAACATAATCTCAAAACATTTGTGACAATAAGATCATACAAATGCAAATGGCATAATGGTTATATTACATGTCCAAGTGTTATCTATGCACCTATCTGAATTCTTCAGCATTCAGATTCCTTTGTGCTGCTGTGCCAAAGCAGCACGTGGAAGGGATGAGGACATCCATGAGGGGACCTGCTCCATATCTCTAGGTGAGCAATAAGGGGATGGAAAGAAAAGCAGACCACAAATTTTTCTTTCAAGGCAGACCACAGGTTTTTCTTTCTGCTTTGCCTTATAAATCTGTGTTTGACCAGCATGTGTGTAGTGGGGGAATGGTGAGTTGGGAGTCTTGGTTTATAGTTCTGTTTTGCAGGGGGTAATACAGTTATGATGGGTGGAAAGGTATCATCTGTGTTACCTGTTTTAGGTGTATGTTAAAAAAACTCAACCAAGCAAAAAGCAGAACAGAATATCCCACAACAAATGCGCCCCCCCCCCAGTTAACTTTGCAGTGGGGACCCTTGATTGAGCATGGATATTGAACAATTTCAAAAGTAACTGGGAAAATTTCGTTCTTCATTGCTATTCATTTAATGAAGGCTCATACGTCTTTATTCAATTGGTGGTATGTGGTAATTCAGCTGAATCTCCACTTCTGAAATATATTTTCCAATCTAGTAAATAATCAGCTGCCTAGTAAAGTACATCTTTCGATGAAGAAAGCCTCTTGGATCAATTCAGTGGATCAATTCAGTAACAAGACTCACTAAAGTAAAGTGAGATCTAGTGACTAATGTGAAAGTCTTACATTCCAAGATCTCCTCAAAGAAAATACTAATAAGGAGCAGAGTGAAAAATGCTCATGGAAGTAGCTGCCACTTAAGAGGCAACATGAAATTTTTCTGTGCAATTCTTTTAGTTGTTTGGAGCACAGTCCCTGCCCCCTGCAGAGAACTGTTTTAAAATGCAATGTGTTTGTAAAAGAGTATCCCTCAAGAGGTACCCCAGGAGAGAGACACAGTAGTGGTGATTAATCCTGGCAAGAGGAAATCTGGATCTGTGTTGTAAGAAGCCTAGCTCTTTTCATCTGAAACTTCTTAAGTCATAAGATTGGTTTTGTAGCATGGGTCTGACAGTTCTGCCAATGGGTGAAAACTTTTAGCAGTTATTAAATGAATTAGTCTTTCATGAACCATGTACATGCACAGTTGTTAACTCTCAGATGTCTCAACTTTCAGTGACAAGATCTGAGCAAGTATGTAACATTAACAGGATTATTTCCAGGCAAAGACAGTAAAGTCTTCAAGCAAAATCTTAAGTCTGAAGTTGGATTTCATTTGGAATAGAAGAGCATTGTTTTGACCAATTGAAAGCACGCAGTTAAATCATAGCACTGAAGTAGCAGATTGGAGTAAATTTTTAGGTGGCACGTGTTGCTGTTACTCTGTCAGAGGAGCCGGTGACTTCTATTAAAAGAGTGAGTGGGGCTTGACCATTTCATTTCTAGAATCTCTCTCAGAGAGCCTGTGCGGTGTCGTAACTGTGCAGAACCAGAAGCAATGCTGAGAGATAGGCAGAAGACCTTACCTACCACCTGAAGACTGAAGTTTGTTCATCCATAAACCGAGCATGTTTCCAACAGCCCATTCTGTCACCTTCTTCACCTAGCACATGCACATTCTGCATTGATACCTTGTATTGCATACTTTGGCCTAAGGTTGTCATAAACATGCAGTTAAGGTGTCCTGGATTATTGGAATACTTAGATAGTGTTTTATTTAGGAACAGGTCAAGTAACACATCTTTCCATGTCTATATGTAGAAATATGTGCAATAAGTTTTCACAAATATAAAAAAGTTGATATTCCAATACACTTTTGATCAGTATTATCCTTTGTTAACTCCATTCACTGCTGCAATATAGGTAGGCAAGGTGAAAGGTTTAAGAGGCTGGCTGCACAAGGGCAAGGACTCGGCTGATATCTGTAGTAGGTATGTGAGAACAACATAGGAGGGGTTTTCTGGGCATAAATCCATTGCATTGTTAATTAATAGTTGTATTTTAATAATTATAAACATTGTTTCTCAGAAAGCAGATTGCTTGGATAAATGTAGCTGTCCCACAGCTATTTCTGGGTGAACACTCAACATTTAAACTGTCCTGTTCTGCCTAATACTGGCAGCTGCCACCCAGATTGCAGGGCAGAAGCCTGGAGCAGTAGGCCTGCTGGGTCTCACAGGAAAGACTTTGCACTGTAACTCCTACTTCAAATACAGAATAACCCACTGTTATCCACCCAGTGCATCCCTATGGATTTCAGTGTGCTTGCTGTGACTATGTGATCATACTAATTGGTCTCCTATGGCCAGCTGCTACTGTAGCACTGTAAAACACTTGTGTGTTTTACAGTAGTGAAGAGGCATTAGAAGTATCTTGTGACACTGTGTAAAGAAAACAGGAGTTCCCAGTGCCATAGCATCACCATGTTTCACACGGAGCTTCACACTCTGCTGCTGTGCTGCTGTGCCATTTAGCAGGGTTTCCTGGGGGAGTTGTTTCTTCCCCCTAGCCCTGTTACCTTGCTGACTTTTTTGAGGGACCTCAGATTGGCTGCCACCACGTAGGTACCTCTAGCACTAGAAAATATCATCAGCAAAAGCTTGTTAGCTCAAACAGCATTGTTTTTAAAGGAAAACAAAAGAGCCCATCACCTCCCAAATCTTTCTGGAGAACGGGCTTCCAGGAGAAGCATCAGAGGCAGTTTCATTCAGAAAAGGCTGAAATTTTTTAAGTATAAAAAGCTAGTGGTGGATGGCTCAAGGATCTGAAGTATTTTGAAACGGTTTCATGTATTTTCCTACCAAACATGTAATGTTTCTGTGAGCCATGGCGGGGTTGTGAACATTTCAGCTACAGAGCCAGGATGAAGCTGTCTTCTCAGAAGGTCAGGAGCCCTTGTGGGACAGTTCCAGTTAAGAAACATGAAGGCACAGCCACCCTGAAATACCCGAATCTGGATGTTGGAAAATGATCAGGAACACATTTTATGGTACAAAACCAGAATCAAACAGAAACTGATTATCTGAGCTCGTTTGTTTATACTTCAGGCTTTTTGATAGGTCTGTTCAATCTCTTAACTCAGGAAGTGGCTGATTTGTCAAAGGACAAGCTTTTGAAGAAAGCCAGATGGAAGGGCATTGAACTCCCTCTTACTTCGTTTGAAAGAAAATGGATTGTTTTGTTGCAGTTCTGGATGTTCTGGAAATTCAGCCAGTTTAAGCTTCATTTGTCCTCATTGCAATGCATGTGCTAGAAGCTTGCACAAGCTACATTTTACTAAACTGCAATGTCATTAAAGAGTGTTAAACTAGCAGAATATGATTACAAGACCTAGAGGCTGGACACATGAGAACAGGCTGTGCCCTGCTCTCATGACAAAAGCTGACATGCTCTTGGGTTAACACAAGGCTCCTTGCTGCTTTGCCCCATTGCAGCAGTTCAAAGCAGTAGGATGAGCAGCCTATCAGTGAAGCTGCAAAATTGAAAGGTAACACAAAGTGCAGTTTTAACAAAGAAATGCTTTTTTGAGTTAGGGGGAAAAACCACTCTCTTCCTTCTCCTGATGCATTCTGTTTCCTTTCCTTTCCCTCCTTCCTTCCCTCCAGGGGAGGGAAACCCAGCAGCAGAGCCCAGTCCCAAATTGTGGCCAGGACCAGCAAGTACACAATATTCTTCCCTGTTGCTCCTGCTCAAGCTTGGCAGGTGGAGCTGATTGTGATCAGGATATTTATTGCTGTTCATGTGGTACTCACTGTGTGTGCAAAAACAGGGCCTCGAGCCTCTCCATAAATTTACAGATCTCTTAACATGCTGCAGGCATTCTTCATAGAAATGGAATGGATGCCACCCTGCGGTTATTGAACAGGGAAATTAAATAGGCTAGGTGGTGTAAAGAAAATCACAGCTTTGAACTTTCCTATTTAAAAATAACCCTGCCCAGAGAGTACTATTTTGAACATGTGAGAAGGCATTCCTGGTAGGGCTTGTGGGTGATGTGGCACTTCTCCAGTGACAGATAGATGCAGGTGTTGAAATTGGGCTTGTTAGCAGTTAGGTTTCATCTTAGTCCCAGAACTGCTCCATCTCCCAACCAATCACCTGAAAAAAATCAAGGGTGAGGGAGGTGGGTTTGCCTCTTACATGGGTGTGTGGATGGTTGCATCTTTATCAATGGTTAGGCCTTACATGGGAAGGCAACTTCAAGAGCAGTTGGATCATTTATTTTAAGTTTTATGAAAATGGTATGTCATTATTGGTCAGAGAGAATAATGCATATGAACAATGTATTTCTCAAAGGAAAGAAGGCGTTTGATACAGGGGGGCTTTAGGGCAGTTTTATGACCAGTCAGAGAGAATCTGAGTAAGCCACCGGAGGAACTGCCAGCGATGCTCCTGCTGCAGGATGCTGACGGAGAGGTGGTGCCAGGGGAAGCCCTGGGCTAGGAGGGTGTTCCCTCACCAGTATCAGGGAAGACACCCCAGTCTTCCTGACCATGGCAGAGGCAAGATCAACAGCAGAAACTGCAGCCTTACTGCCTTGCTAAAGCACAGTGGCCCAGCATCAGCCCCCAGGCAGGGACCCTGGAACACCAATCATGATGTAAAGCATCTTGTGTTTTGTTCTTCTTTCTCTCTTCT